GAACGAGCAGGCGCACAGCTGCAGACGTATAAGTTAAGCATTGGTTACCCCGAGACACTGTCCTGTAAGATACAGGTCAAATGAGTGAATTAGTATTTACTATACTATAACTTCCTAACCTACCTTGTGTTTGCCAATATTGGCAACTAACTTGCATTTTGATTTGTGTGACAATCATAATAACCTCAAGATGGCTCTCTGGGCAGACACATGGAACATCAAATGTCATTGGGAATCTCTCGGGAGATCTGGGAGCAGCAGCAACAGCAGAGTCTCCAGGTGGACCTGGGGGTCCAGTCTGACACTACAAGTCCCAGGAGACACCTGGGCTGTCATCCCAGCTGAGTTTGAGAGCCCACTGGTGCCAACGTTGCTGTTTACACACGCTCCACCACACACCTGCCACAGGGACTCTCCGCAGGCCAAAGAATATGCAGTAATTCCTCTAATCCACTCAATATGGTGGCACCATGTTACAGCGCTGCTGTATGGGAGAGCCTCCAAGCAAATTACAGTGAAATTGTGCCCAACACCTGCCTTTAATCAAATACAATGAAGCAGTATGTGACACCACAAAGAGAGGATTAACATTAACAGTTGAATGCACTACTGAAGTCCCTGTGCGATATGTGGAGGGGGCCTGTTAATGTATAATAAAAGCTTATTAGCCTCACGTCATTCAACTTCTTTTTGCTATACATACAAATACTTTCAGTCTGACTCAGCTTTCAGGGTTTAACTCTTTCGCAATGCAAAAGACAGGGCACAAGTAAGGACTGTTCTTTTATACACTAAACATACTGTAGACCTTGTAGTTAAAAAATAAAGAATAAGATTTTTGGGTACAACAATGTCTATTTTGGTATTTGATTTTTTTTCTATACCATGATTATGTAAAGACAAGAGATTCCCACTTAAGTGCTTAAATGCTGAGTCAATTTATCAATTAGTAACAAGTTTTTCCAAACGTTTCTGGCCCATAACCAAATTTTTAGATTCCAAACTTCAACCCAGCAATCAAATGTCATCAGGTAATCATTTGAAAGGAATGCTTAAGTAAAAAATTTTAAAGAATGTAACGGGCCGTTCACACCCAGGACGATAACGATAACAGTCAGTACGTTAAAATGCAGCTTGAGAAAATCGAATTATTGGCTTAGTCCGACGGAAACCAGACTTTTAAATGCCTGTAAACAGCTTAGTCCGACTGAAATTGGACTATCCGTAGCTCGACTAACACACCTAGATAATTCGATTGAAAATCGAACTATTGCTGCATGTATCCACTTAGTCGGACTGGAGTCGGATTTGGCGTTCTGTGCATGCACCACTTTTTCTTTCGCGAGCTTTCACCCGGAAGAAGGAGGAGATGACGTAGCAGCAGTGCAGTAACTCCCGGAAAAACAAACAAACAAACACCATGGCAACCAAGAAGCAGAAGACGCACTTCTGGACGGATGAGGAAACTACATCCATCTCCGCCATCTTCATACGTCGTTAGCTTCCTCTTCGGGTCAAGCAGAACTAGTTCAATTATGCACTATATTAAAAAGGACACAGCGCCGCCTGTCGAGGCGGAGTCAGACGTACTTGGTCAGAAATTCAATTTTCTCTTCTGCATGTATACTCAGAAGAGAAGTCAGACTTGACTGATTAGCCGAGCTATGAGCTTAGCTCGACCGCTGCGTGCATGTAAACGTACTGAGTGTGAGCATGATGATCAATATCGTTCTCTCAGCAGTGGTGCCAAGCACGCGCTGCACGCACCAGCTGTGATGGCAGCTTAGGAAAATTAATATTGATGACCTGTTCGTTATAATCATCTCCTTATCTCTGTAAATAATAACAAAGCATGTACCACTTATTAGAGGGTTAGCCTTTTATCGTTTATAAAATCACTCTGAAAGTGATCCCAATGATATTGTTCGCCACTATCATTGCTGTTATAGTCGCTATGTGGACTCCACCATCCACGAGTTAGAACAATTTTTAAAATGTTATATTCAGAGGTTATTGTTCTAGTTATCAGTCAGTGGACGGCCCTTAAAGGGAGAAATACTAATGTATTTCAAATCTAAGTACGTTTTATGAAAATACCTCAAAACATATATCAACATGTCAGCCTTAGATATCTCATACAGATTCCACTGGCACAAAAAGCTACCTCACATGGCTGAAAGACAGAACTAATAGGCGTACATATCAGCAAAGCCTCCACTTTTAGCTTTGGCAACTAGGGAAAGATGTTTGTTAGTATTACTGAAATTCAAAGACCAAAGAAACAGTTCATGCAAATAAGTGTTGGAGGAATCAGTACAGAAAATAATCATTAGCTGCAGCCTGAGGCCACTGTATTATTTTCAATTGTCATGTGCTCTGTTGAGCGTACTCAAAATTGGTCCTAAAAAAAGTTTCAATGATCAAAGACTAAAAGAAGGTACTGTACTCACAACATTTTGTGGATCTGCATTGAGCCTTCCTCCTGCATTTCCATGCCAACATGTTCTTTTGTCTGTAATCTGCAAATGCTGTGGAAACATTATGTGTTGTTATTCCACTTTTGATTTTGATAACACACATGATTCATGACTGTTTCTCAAACATGCTCACTTTTACTGCCTCCAAAATCCGCCGACTGTTTTCGTTTCTGTTTGTACTCCATGTTGCTGTTCGTAGGTGTGGAGGGGAGCTCAGCTGAAACATATGAGAAACAAAAGTCTTATTTGACTAGTATTTCTAAATTCAGCTTAATTATTTTTCATGTTTAAATGCTCAGAAACATTGAAACAAGAACCAAAAAGGTCAAATAAACTGTAAATCTATTTAATTCCAATACAAAGAAAACACGCAACATTTTCTGTCTGCTCACAGCTTAAACTCACCAAAGTCAGGGTTTAGGACACACTGAGTGTAAGATCAGAGAAGTTGTTTAAGCTGCAGGACTGCTTTGAGAAGCTTCCACACATTTGTTACAGCTGTTTTTCAACACTAATATTTGTCATAGAAGTCATTTTTAACCTACAAAAATCAAATAAATCAATAAACGTCCAGAACCTTTCTTACCCTGTGAAATGATGTTCAGAAATAGTTTCATTTACATCACCTTTTGTGAGCCTGTGACTGTGAGATTCAATTCAAATACAAGTCACTGTTTAAGAGAGATGTAAACTACAACACGCCCACAGAAGCTGAGCACTTGATAATGCAAGATATGGTGGGTGGTTTAAGACAGGCATGCTGAGCGAACAGTCACCCTGTGTTGGACCTACACTTATACATAGACATAACATTACTGGTGATAGGAGAGGGCCAATATTAGATACTTGTATCTCCTTGAGGACACTGTATCAATGCAGTTCATCCTCTTATGTATTATGACCAAGCAAATTATGTATACAAGTATACAAGTTACTTCATGTATTAATTGTAAATGTGTATCTAGACAATGTGTATTGTCTAGATAAAATGCACTGCGTTGCAAGTTTGCTAGAATCAGCATCCAGTTTAATGTCAAGTATGTTTTCACATACAAGGATATTTCTTTGGTGTACGGGTGGATTACATCAGCACACTAAGAGAAAATGAAACTAAAAATGAAAGCAAATACAGCAAAAATCAAAAACATACATATGTAAGAAAACAGAAATAAGAATATGATAAAATACTATGAAATATGTACAATATGTCTGGGTTAAAACGAAAGGTCTGTGGAGTTTTTAGAAGTGATAGTTTGTGCAGATGTAAGGTAGGTTATATACACCAAGCTAAAACTAATGCAGGGACCTCATTATTCTTGTGGTATATCGCAAAAATAATCAACAGCCCTTAAAACTACAGCCTTCAAAATGACCACACAGATAAAGCAGCAGTCTGCTTACTAAAGGAAGGCAGGACCTATGACAGGGCTGTTGCATCAGTTTTAGTTAAGTGTACGTGACGAACTGGCAGCTGACTTGTTGCTGGAAAAAGTAAAGCTGTCAAACAATCAATAACAGACTGTTAGCACGTGATGACAGTTATATCAGTGAGGTCCCCAGGGTGGCACAAACAGACAGTCTTATCTAACATTTACTGGCTGTTGTCAGTCTACACTTATTATAACACGTGACTGGGACCACTGACAGGCTACATCATTAGCTTGGTAAATAGTGACAAGTTTCAAGCAGACAGTGGGACTTGTAGTGGAATCTGTTTCATTAGCATGAGGTCGAATATCAGGACAAAGTGCAAACCCCACTGTGACGTTAACCATTCATCGTGGTGTTCAATAATGCGTATGTCAACACAGATAACACAACTAATATTAAGTTAGCTTGTTAGCTAGCTGTCGTTCAACGCTAAGTTAGCAGCTGGTTAGCTAACATTATATTTACATGGCACTAACTCCTGTAAGGAAACTGACTTATTTATCCAATTTAACTTCCCTGAAAGTTAGTTACAAACACTTTCCATCTCTGCCCTTGCCTGTCACACCAAAAACACTGTGTCCTCTCCAGCCGGCCGACTCCTCACTCACCAGATATGAACTTTGGCGTTTATGGTCCGTCTCACTTTCACTGCGACTTTTATTCCAAATGTGATACGAGCTGGTCTGTCGGAGGAGAAGCGCTATTTTTCGTTTTTGTAAGTGAAAGCCGCATTTCAGCGGTACTAACATCGGCGCCATGTTGCCGAAGGAGGAAGGCGGTTAGTTAAGACGCCGGATATACGTCACATCCGGTCTTCACCAGTGCTGTCAAAGCTAGCATACAAGCTGCTTTACTTGACACTGCGTTACAGTTTTGACGAAATAACAGCTGCTGGTTTGATTTTTAACACGACTCGGTTGAGTATTGAAAGGTTTGTGAGTGTGGACCTGTGTATCGGTGTGTATGCGGCAGCTGCGTCACTCGGAGAGTTTGATTTCCAAACAGCAGTCGAAGCTAAAGGAAGAGCACGTTGTCTTCTTTGTCAGGTTAATCTAGGTCGCTTGGTCAAGAAACGCTATCTGGCTTTAGCACATAATTAACAGAAAACCCCACAATCTCGCACTCAGGATGCCATGCCACAATCAGCAACTGAACAATGTGAGCAGCGGTCAGGAGCACCCAATGAAGCAAGTGCGATTTGCAAACAACAACAGCAGCAATGTGCCTGCAGTGCTGCCCAACTCTGAGACAAGTGATGCCTCCATACTGAGTGACAGTCAAGATAACCTGGGACCTCAGCTTAAACTGCTCCCTCTGAATGACCAGATCCGTGAATTACAAACCATAATCAGAGACAAGTGAGTCCATACTACTTTCCTATCTCCCCATACAGACTACAATAAAGCTGGTGGTTGTGGTACAGATTAAAGTATTGTAATGTGTATGAGTCAGTACCTGTAACTGTTTTTAACTGGATTATTGCACTTAATTTTAAGCAGCCTTTTATTACATGAAAAGGCAACATTCAAGCTGTGTCACAACAAGACACCTATACAGTCTGGTCTTATATAACCATATCAAAAATACAGTCTATTGCCAAGTCTTCTCACCCTCATTTTGAATAGTATATGTCTGTTGGCTGGTGTATCTTAAGCTCAGGCAGTATCAAGGTATTATCGGTGTATTTAGAAATCCTGAAGGTATGATTTGCAATGTATGAGATGTATGGGATGCTGTTTTGAGGCAGTGTAGTGTACAGCACACGCCACCAGAGGTCAGTCTCCACAGGTGGAACAGGCAGCTGAGCTGGCGACTGCGAGTGCCGGGGATAACGTTACAGGACTAGTAAAAAAGAGAAATGCTTCTTCACCTGTTTGAGAGTAGTGCCACATAACTTTAACTTGAGATAATTTCTTCCAACCACAAAACAGTTCATGAGCTACATGATTTTATTCAAAATATCATCTATGTTCAGCCCACTATTTGTATTTACCGCAACAACAAAGGTCATCATGTCCCCCTGCAGAAATGGAGTTTGTTTCCTATCTATTTGTTATTCTATGGATCATAAGTATTTACATCCAGCAAGACTCGTCTAAGTAGGCTAATTGCATATAGAAACCTAGAATTGTAGGCATGACAACGACATACATGCTACAGCGACTTCTGTCGTTTTGTAATACAAAAACATCGTCATGTACCACATACCCCAGTGAAATGTCAGGAAGGCATGGGAAAACAGACACCGCCTTAGTCTAGTGTATCTGTCTGATATGTATCAGCACTGATGCTGACCTGATAAAACACTGGTATTGATCAGAGTATGTGACTCATCCAATTTAACCTCCTCAATCCAATTGTCTTCCCAGAAAGGTGCTCAATGCACAGTCAGGCTGTACAGCCCAACAGCCATCGAACCCACAAAACTTTATTTCAGTTTCCAGTGGACATTTTAAAGATTATGACGATACCACTTATATCAGGGTGAATTTTGAGGGAAATTTCATGATGATTTCAATTTGATGGAATGATGCAGTTGGAATATTTCACTCAGTTTAAACATGATATAGCTTCAGTGAAGATCTGGAACAACATGATAAAGGATATAGGCCTACAAAACAGTCTGGAGTGAAATTACTTTCCAGCCTGTATTGTTGTGTTTATCTGCAGAAACTGCCCTCTGCCCACATTTTCTCTTGTCTTCGTAGTTTATGTTTTCAGAACGTTTATGGGCGTGTATCCCCACAGCGCTCAGGTGAGGTGGGGAATAGGGATTTTATAAAAAGGAAGCAGCTAGGTGCCAACCCATAAGCATCAAGCACCCAAGAGACACAGCCCCCCAAAAAACACAAATATAACGAGGCAAAACGCCAAGCAAGAGTGAATCTGGGGTTGGCTTTTACTTTCACTTTCACTGCCAAGTGTACCTTTTTAATATGTTTTGTGTTATTACAGCCTCATTTTACCTTACCTTTAGGGTAAGAGATTTCTGAAATAGGACCAGTGCTGATGTACAAATACCATAAATGTATATATCATAACAGGAGACATTTAGTGGGTTTGGTGTATCCATAGTGAGAAGTACATTCTGAACCTTCTAACCAAATGTCTATATTCATATTTTCAGGACAACCAGCAGAGGAGACTTTGTGTTTTGTGCTGATCGGCTGGTAAGGTCATGACTTAACACTACATACTATATGTGTATGTATAAAAGCTAGAAGCTGTAAGCTTTTTCTTTCTCCAACCACAGATCAGACTAGTTGTTGAAGAGGGTTTGAATCAGCTCCCCTACTCAGAGTGCACTGTGACCACGCCAACAGGTGAGGATCTCTGACTCTTGTAACAAAATTAACATTTTAAGAATCTTAGCTCAATCATGTCAGATCTCTATGTGCCCAGTTGAATAGGGCTGACCAGTTATAATAACGTAATTGCAAATAAGTGCAGTGCTCCCTCGCAGTGTTGTATGCCAGCATGTATGACTGAGCCGCTACATTTGTGAATATTCCTACATCATATTTCCCCTCAGGGTACAAGTACGAAGGTGTCAAGTTTGAAAGAGGCAACTGTGGAGTCAGCATAATGAGGAGTGGTAAGTTAAACCTGCCATAGCGTACTCACCAAATTAGAGTTTCTCCTTTGTAAGGGCATGTATCATGTCTTCCATGCATATGTGATTTGTGCCAACTGTGCAATCGTGCTGTACATTCTGTTCAGCACATATTCATCAGGTCCGGCTATTGTGTGCTCTGGTTCATTCGCTCTTCATCAGCAGTCAGTTCTTTTCTCTCTGTGAAATTGATCGATCATTTTAATACTAAATAATACAATAGAATGGTGATACTAGGGCAATTCTGTACTTTGCAGAACATGTTCTTTGAAGGCATCACAGTCAGCGACTCTCACTCCCTTTCACCGTCAGATTTAATGAGGCTCTTATCGCTGTCAAATGCAAAACCTAATGCAGTTATTGGAAAACCTATATTATCCTTTTATGACAGTAGTGCTTAAGCAGAAAAAGTAAAATGTAAGCCCGCTGGAAACATAGTGTAGCTCAAATACGACATCTTAAAGGCAACATACATCTACAGTGTATGACACAAGTCAAAGCACCTGCACATCTTGGCACATGTCCTTGTTGGTTGATGCTTCTCAGTGTGACAGCCTACAATGCTGTACTATTTTTCAGTGGCACAGTAGCATCCCAGAAAAGCAGCAATTTTCTTCGGATCTGCACATCCAGACTACTGTACCTTTTAATGCTTCTCTCTGCATGGTGCGCTTTTTTCACCTTACCTTACCTTACCACAGATGATTCACTTTGTGTTCAGACACAGAGAATTTAAGGACTTTATGAGTTTCACAATGTTGTTCATTCTGCCTTCCTGTCAATCACATTTACTGAGAAGGGAGTGAACTCTACAGTGCCTTATCATGTAAAAAACAGATTTTAACACAATAGTTTAAACATTATACAGCCTGTCACACAAATAAACCCCGCTCCTAAATATGCATAATTTAAACCTTAATAAAATGGGTGAAATATATAAATAATATAAATAATAGACCAAATCCATTTTTTGTAGGCAGTTAACATGTTTATTTATGCTGTTAAAGGAGCTATATGTAAGAAAAATAAAGCAAATAGTCGTAAAATCCTCCTAATATGTCACAGAGACTAAGCAATAATGTTCATATAAGGAACATACTGATCTCACGGACAACAATAGTACAGCCAGAATATTCGCATTTAAAAAACATTTTTACATTTACATTTTTCATGTTTATGTTTTGAATTTGTGTTTTGGCCTGTTGCGCCACCCACCGCCGTCTACCAGTCACGCAGTCAGTAGAGTCTCAGCATCAGTTACAGTTACGACTGAGCTACAGCAGCACGGCAAGTAGCATTAGCAGTGTCCCGGTACATAGCATTAGCAGCCGGCTCCTCCTCAGCTGTATCCCGGCAGCAGCGTTAGCAGTGTCCCGGTACATAGCATTAGCAGCCGGCTCCTCCTCCGCTGTATCCAGGCAGCAGGGTTAGCAGCACGGCAAGCAGCATTAGCGAGGACATGACTCGCGGCAGTATTTTGAATTTGAGTGCAGTAACCGTTTTGGCCACATTCTTACATACCGCGCCTTTAAGTTTTGCATTTTAGCACGGGGGTCAATGGGGCTCGCTTCTGAAGCCAGCCTCAAGTGGCCATTTGAGGAACTGCAGTTTTTGGCACTGCCACGTTGGCTTCATTTTTCAGCCTTGGAGGTTGCTGCTTGATTTTATCACAATGTTCAGCGTGTCATAAAGCAGTAGGGAACTAAATTAACACTACGGTGCATTTATATATGGTGCATACAAAGAAGGCCTCTCAGTTTATTCTCATTGTCATTCCAATGATCATAGTCACATACAGTCACATGCTGGCACAAGACTATTAATGTATGCTCCATATTTAAATAGACAATATTTCAATCCCAGTTGTGTTCTGTGTGTCTCCCAACAGGTGAGGCTATGGAGCAGGGTCTCCGGGACTGCTGCCGCTCCATCCGCATTGGCAAGATCCTCATCCAGAGTGATGAGGAGACACAGAAAGCCAAGGTCTACTATGCCAAGTTCCCTCCAGATGTGTACAGAAGAAAAGTGCTGCTCATGTATCCCATCCTTAGTGAGTAACACAGGGCTGACCACAGTTTATCTTTCTGATGACTCCAGTTTACCACCCTCTTTAGCACGTAAATGTCAAGAGATGTCCCATTTCTGTGCAAATGTAAAAACGGTTTCGTGTATTTATTCATTTTGAGAAATCTCCCTTGAGTTGACCTTCAACGCCAAGTCTGCATTTCCACATCATACCGGCCCATTCACACTGTTCTGATAATTATAGCTCTCATGGGGGAAATTATACACTGCCTGGGAGATAGCCACCAAGCTGCTGAATAGCATAATGAGGGCCAACAAAAATAGTATCTTAATAGCCCCGGTTTCCCAGTGTCACAAAGCAGCATTTGTCAGTTCTCCGTTTTTCAAAAAAATATGATGGGGACAAAGCCAGGTTGAAGGTATGTTTTATTATGTCAGAGTGACGGAACATATGGTTACACTGGTGCATGCTAAGAGGGTCAGAAATAAAAGCCTGCCAAAAGCCCAGACTCATGAGCACATATCAGCACACAGCTCAGTACGTGTTTCAGATGCTAACATAAGACATCAGCATGTGCAAACAGTCAGATCAAGCGAGGGGTGTCACGATTTTGATTCTAAATCGAAAATCTATCAAAATGCACTTTCAATTTCGATCTTCGAAAATCAAACTTGAGATCTGCAACTATCCCGGTAGTTTTTTTTTTTCTCTCAACCATGGCCTACTACTTCAGATACGACACAGCATAGCTCACTGGTATCCTGCAGCTGCACTTGCCCAGACACCATAGCCACTGTTGGAGTTGGAGATGATGGAGAAACAACAGAATTGGATAATCCTCCTCCTTCATTGAAGTTAGTGATGTGGCAACATTGTGCCTTCACCGTACCATATATAAACAATGAACTTGTCGTTGACAGAACTACAGTTTGTAGGCTATGCCAGTCAAGTGAAAGTGAAGCAAAGTCCCGATCTTCCCAATTTACTGGGGAAATAATTTATTAATATTACATTTTAATTAAATTGTTTTAACCTGACAATGTGATTTTAGCATTGTACATTCCAAAACATGTATATGGCACTTAATACCATGTAGTCTATGTTTTAAAGAAGAATTTGAAAATGTAAATGACAGCTGTTAGGGCATAAAACCACTGATCTGTTGATCTCTATGAATCAAAACTTGATAGTGTAACAGTGGCAGAGCCGTAACTGCTGAAAAGAAAAATGTTTAAAATTTTATTGAATCGTGACCTTCAAATCAAAGTCAAATTGAATCGTAGATTTGCAGAATCGTGACACCCCTCATCATTAGGGATGGACGCGATTAGTCGTCTAAACAATTGAACGTCCACCCCCTCGCTAGTCGACACCAGAAATATTAGTTGGTTAAAGCGACACTTACCTTTCTGTAAATTTTACGCTTTTCTTTGTTTAGGTTAACATGCTATTAATAAGCTGATGGCACACTAAAATGTAAGTGAATTCCACCAAAGATAAAAACTCCTAATTGTACCATTCTCACATGGTTCTAAGAAAACTCTGACCAATCATTGCATTCGCACCGAATGCAATGATTGGTCAAGCGTCCTGTCTGTCTTCCCTACTGACGTAACCGCTCGCGTAACATCTCCCCAGGACAGGTAACGTTATGTTTAGTTTGCTTCTAATATAACATATAAGGTTATATATGACAGCATCCAGTTAATGGCTAATGTTAGCTTACTGTAGCGTAACCTCTGAAACATTAACTTCATCTTCCTTGTGTGTTTCCACTTACTAGTAACGTTAACGCCACTATCTAATGTTAGCACTGCCACTAGTGGGGGCTACAGAGCCGTCAGACAGCAGTCCCCCTCCCTGCAGTAATGCTCGAGTAGAATGGAGTTTTGAAACAGCACGGTGAGAAATAAGAGAGATGTCCTCTCGCCAAACCAGTGCGGTTTGGCAGTACTTTGATCTAGAAAACTAAAACAATTCAACAGAAATTTATTTATTTTAGATATTGTTTTATTTGTTTTATTTTACATGTAAATTGTATGGCGCATAGCGTTCGCAATTCAGCAGCATTTTATCCTTTTTTTTTTAGATGTTATTTTATTTGTTAACTCTTACATTCATACTGCACGGCGCTAAATGCCTCTCATTTCAGCTGAAATTTAATTATAATTTCAATGTTGTTTTATTAACTTTAAAGTGAATTGCTATCATTTCTGTCAGATAATCTGCAAGGTTCAATGTGCCCCACATTTCAGAGGCAGTGTATTTATTTTAGATGTTATTTTAGTGGTTAACTTTTGACTGAGTTGCCGTCATGTTACGGTGCAAAGAGTCTCGTACTTCAGCAGCATTTGAAATCCGACATGGCTGTTGAAGATTGTGATTAAAGGCTTCAAAGGGCTCTTAATGCACACAGTACTTTTTGAGGACAATGTTTCAAATACTTAACAATACATTGTACTAATTTTTGTGTTTTTTGTTTTCTGAGTGTTTTCCATTTTTAGACTGGTCGACTAGTCTTAATTATAATTTTCATTTAGTCAACAGGGAAATTAGTCGCCAGGAACATCCCTACTAACTATAACCATTTTATGTATTTTTTTTAAATCATGTATCCTGCATTATTAACCTGGTACATTGTAAAAGTAAGTGAGCAGGTTTTAAATCACACATTGTTTCTGTAAATAAAGTGACATTGTAAACACTCGAACGTGAGACACATTTCAAACCACCTCAAAATGTTGTGTGTCTGCAGGTACCGGGAACACTGTGATTGAGGCAGTGAGGGTGCTGATAGAGCACGGAGTCCAGCCCAGACATATTATCCTCCTCAGCCTCTTCTCCACGCCTCACGGTATACCACCACAGCCAGTTCACTGCAACCGCAGCTCATCACCAATTTACATTTGTTTACCCACCAGATCACACACTTGGTCTCCAATCTCCTCTCCACTCTAGTTCCTGCTGTATCGTTGTCTTCATACAATATACTGACCACACTGCTGCTCAGAGGCACTGCTGATCCTCCTCGGCAGTTCAGCCCATTATGGTTTTAAATGAGTGAAGAAAGCAGCAGATTATTTTTAAACGGTTCCAGGAATAGGGTTGTCCTGGAAAAATTAAAAGATTTAAACAAAATATTGGAAATTATGGGGTAGTTTGAGGTCTTGTAATAGTAGCTTTCTCTCCATCAACTACTACCCGCCAGATTGCCATGACATTTAAAGTGGATATTCATGGATTACCAGAGACGGATTTCTAATGGGTCTTTTTTTAAACCCCTTGACCTTTCTTCTAGTGCCATCATTGAGCCAAAATTTCCACTTTAACACAAGAAATATTGAAACCTGAAGGGCATGTTAACACATTTTCACCACTCCAACAAGTGGCAACATGTTGAGAGGATAATGTTAGGGTGTTAACATGCCAGTAATTAGCGCACCGTCCATGATGATTAATTTCAGTTTTACCTAAATAAATATGAATAGATGTTTAGTCCATTATGTTTACACACACTGCTTATCTGTCTTTGAAACAGTCTTGGCTTTCTGTAATTTTAAATCTGCTGAAAGACTTAAAATAAGTAACCCTTGTATTCAGTTTATATTTAGGAGAGACATGTTTATTATCTGTGTGTGTGTGTGTGTGTGTGTGTGTTTGTTTGTGCTGAGAGAACACTGACTCAAATTACCTTTTGCTAAGCCCCACCCCTTTGTGATAGTCTGATAAGCTGTCGCAGTAAGCATGGAGCCCACACTGTAACTAACTGCAGGTTACACAGGTTAAAAAGACAAAGATAGTTAGAAGCTAAAGCCGAACTATAGGCTACAGATCACAGTGTAAAAGTGAACCACCACATCACTGCTGATCGCCACGGAACACAATGAATATAAAGGGAAACTTTGCTGATATTGAACCAGCTGTGTGGCATCACAGTGTGTACAGATGAACAGTGTTTGGCTTCACCCCCGTGCCACTGCCAGCACCTGAACCTCTGCCGCCAGACAGGCAGGGATCTCCAGGAGACGTCAAACATTGCCATCAGCGCACAGTGAGATGACACAGAGCTGGTTGAATATCAGCAAAGTTCCCTGCTTCCCTTCACTGGTTCCTGTACAGTTCAGTGTTATAATCATTAAAAAGCAAAAGCAGCATGTGCATACATTCAGTGGGCTATATCTTCAGTAGCTAGCTAGCTAGCTAGCTAACCCTACACTTTTCAGGGTTTGATTCTGGTTTTGGAACAGGGAAGAAACATATATCTTTTTCCAACCTCTCCAGGTAACGAGTGTCATTAATACACGATGTGCCCCAGGCACAACATTTAGCTCCAAATCCACAAAACCAGCCTGAAGATGACGGAAATCTGAAACGATTGCATTAGAGTCAATGGAGCACAGCTGTGTTGCTGTTACATTATGATTGGCCAGTCTGCGTCTGGCGGCGGGACTTACCAAAGGGTCAGTTGGTTAGTTTTTAGCCACTTGAAAATTCAATATCAGTTTAAGTGTATACTATATTTAGAATATTTCCACCACTTTGCCTTGCAGTCAGACAGCCCTTTCCAAAGAGGAACTGAAGCCTTATCTCAAAGTCACCAGACTACCTCACAGAACACGAGAGTTGCTGGTCTACCGCTGCCTCGATCAGTTAGTGTGTAAGGGGAATTCATTAGTATGGTTGTTCATAAAGTCTGCACACTATTAAGCCATCATTCATTCCAGTTAACCGCTCCAAGTGACTGGAACAAGTTTCTTTAGTTGCAAAAACTCAACACCTTCATTCCATTACCCTCTTTTAAAACCTCATTACAAGCGATAGTTTCTGATCACTGCACCAGGTTTTGAATTTGCTTCTCAGGAGCACAGTACAGAGATCTCTGTTTTTGTATATACTGTATATATTTTGATGTCTTTGTCTAATGTTGTTTTATTGCACTGTTTTAATGTCTTATATTGACTTGCCTGTTGCTGCCTCTTTTCCAGATCGTCATTGTAAATGAGAATTGGTTCTCAATTGACTTATCTGGTTAAATAAAGTTAAATAAATAAAATAAGAAAAACAGCCTCTATGTTTGGCAAGTTGAAAACATTTGGCAGTGCAATGCAGCCTTAAATTAAAATTCAATGGATTAGCAAAGTCAGGATTCATCCTTTGTGGACAAATGGCATGACAGCCTATTCATAGAAAGTAAATGTGATTTTGGCTGTTAGTTTCTCAGGTTGCTTTTGTATCACTTTCAACCATTATTTTCATTCCTGACAGCAGCAGTGTTGCTGCAGATCTTAGGATATCTTCAAACCCTTCATCTAAAGTGTTTTTACTTTCCTCCTAGGAGCCAAATCTATAATCCAGGAGTTCCCTGATATCACCATCTTGACCACGGAGGTTCACCCAGTGGCTCCGACACATTTTGGACAGAGGTACTTTGGCACTGACTAAACCAAGGACAACCTGAGGAACATGACCTGCAATTTATTCTGAGTATATTTTGTCTTGTTTATTTAAATGTATCTCATGTTCTCCTTGTTGTGCCAAATACTCCAAAGTTCCTAAACTGATACAAAACTATTAATCTAATCAACTGACTGTATTTATTATTGGGTTTTTTTGCTGTGCATACTCATGTTTATGAAAGAAAGCAACACTGAAACATTTGCAGAGTTCAACTTGGGTCATTTTATTTTGCATGTTACAACAACTGATGGAAAATAAAGAATTTATATTTGCTAAAAGACAGAACAGCAAATGAAACGGCATCAGTATTTTTGGTGGTTTCGAGGTGTTTAGAAAGGGAAGCGCCACAATCACATACTCCAAAGACAGTTCAAACGGGACCATACTGTATGTGCTCTAGCAATATTGAACTCCTGTCTGCAAACTGGATATTATTTGTCATCTTCTCATGTTATAAATATCCTACTATTTGATAAAAGCACGTTGCTTCAATAGTTTATTTTAAGTGTCACTTGATGGAGCAAAATATACAGACACTGCCTGCAGCAGTTATGAATCAGCAAACTCAATACACAGGGAGAAAAAAAAGCTGAAGATGATAACAATAAATAGACACTAGACAACATGAGACACTCAACATCCACATCTTTCCTAATGTTTTATACATGCTTCCAAACACTGAATCATACCTCGGATAAAAAGGACAGTTTGAATTAATTAATGACTTGTGTATGTTGTGTATTTCTCAGACACAAGCAGCATTTCATTTGGCTTTCCCAACGTAGTAGAAAAACAGATCTGATGGAGCAAGTCAAAGTGTCGAGATCAAACAACGTAAAGGTTTGATGAAGGCTTAACTTTTCACTTGGACTACATAAACGAGCGCACAGAAATGGTTTTCAACTAAATACTCCGGCTAAATACACAAGTCCATAAACCAAACAGTCTCGATGAGGAGGATCTGTTTCATTGGTATTAAAAAATTTCAAAATACATAAACGCAGGTAGAAAAAAATTCAGAACATCATATTGCAGAAGATCGCTGACCTCTACCAACCAGTGGATGAGGATCAGTGATCAT